TCAATGACAAATAATATAGTGAGCAAAGTCTTACTTCCAATTGTCAATTCAACGTTTATTGCCCCCCGGTCTTGGATGCATTACCCCCAAAATCCTTAAGCATCATGTCAGTCTCAATCAAATCTCCTGGTCCCTTATCAAGCTTACGAAAAGTAGTATAAGGCATAAGATTAACAGAAGCACCTCCATCCATCAATATTTTGCCCATCGGCTTCCCATTAACAAAATCTTTCACATATAAAGCCTTCAAGTGTCGATGCTTGACTAGCTTATCAAATATATCTTGCTGTATCACTATCAATTTGGTGACCAGCTCCTCATATTCCGATTCATCAAAATTTGAATAGACTTCTTGATATGCTAGAGCTCTAAATTCTAACAGCAAAAGAAAAACCATTTGAATATTAGCCAATGGTTGACCTTTATTGACTGTTTGTTTAGCACGCCAAACTTGAGGTTTACCAGATTTTGGAGCCTATTCTAGCTCTTTATTCCTTAGGCATTGTACACTTCTTTTCTAACTTCTTGTTAAAACTCTAGGACACCATTGCCCATCCTTTCAAACATACTCCTCCTCATCACCTTCTTCTTTATAATCAGCCCAATTTTGATCAACAACTCGCTTTCCAAACCGATCATGAATACTTCTATTTTTTAAGCGCCGATCCATATTATGATGATACTCAATTCGAGCATGGATAGACCGGAGGTTGGCTTGAGATTGCTTAAACTCCCAATATTATTCACTATACTCTGAGCCATTATTTCTAGTAGGCAATTTCAAACCTTCATTCCAACAATGTCTGAAAAATGACAATTCTAATGTGATTCAGCTTGTTCTCTTTCATACCTCTCCTTTTCTTGTTGACGCTGATAATCCTTTTCTTTCTGCCGCTGTCATTTATTCAACAAAATTTGAGATGTAACACGCGGCCTCATCGTCCCATTTCTTGATGTCTCTCCCTGCTCATATTGGCTCTTTTGTTGGTCATGATGCCTTTTAATTTCTCTATATTCATCAGCTAATATTTGCATCTCTGGATCAACTGTTCTAGTTTATTTTGCCCAGTTGATGTTAGAACTTTAGTCCTCCCTTTGAGCAACTTAGCATCAACCATATTCTGAACTTTTGGGATAGGATTATCATCAACTTTCATCTTCCGAGGTGTATCAAATTTAAGCTTCCCTTGTTGAATAGCCCTTTGTATATGTTGCCGAAAAATTCTGCACTCATTAGTAAAATGAGAAGTAGTGTTATGAAATTTGTAGAACTTTTTATTCTTCAACTGATCAGGAGGTAATATAACATGATTGGCGGGCAATTTGATATGTCCTTTCTCAAGCAAGAAATTAAAGAGCTTGTCTGATTTTGTGACGTCAAAATCATAACTTTCTTCAACTCTTTTTCTCCAAGGATTTGGAACCATCACTATCTTCTTACCCTAATACCATTCAGCTGCAGCAATCTCCTCTTCTCCATCATCCTCACCATCATCATCGACTAAATATAGATTATAAGCTTCAGCAATTACGACATTCTTTTAGAATCGAGTATCTCTACGCATATTCTGAAATAGGCTATTAAATGCTGCCACCCGTTGAGCCAACTAACCTAAATTGTCAAACTCTTGCTCAAACAGTTTTTCCCTCAATGTTGGCAACATTCCTTGAACAGCCAAAGCAACTAGCTGATCATCAGTCAGATTCAATGAAAAGCACAAAGTTCTTGTTTCTCAGAACCTCTAAAGAAACTCAGCACATGAATCATTAGCTCTTTGCCTTATGGTCATCAAATCTATGATTTTCCTTTCTCCTGACCTAGTATAAAAATATGTATAAAATTTCTTCTCTAGGTCAGTCCAATTGGCAATAGAATTAATTGGTAATAATGAAAACCAGGTGAACGCTGGTCCTGACAGGGACAAAGAGAAGAAACGAACTCGATGAGCTTCTTCAATGGATGCTTCACCCAACTGAGTAAGATACCGACTGACATGTTCTATTGTACTTATACTATCTTGACCAGTGAATGTAGCAAATTTCGGAAGCCTATAATTTGTAGGAAGAGCAACTAAATCATACCACTTTGGATATGGACATTTGTACAAAAATGTCTGTCCTTTTGATTTTAAATCGAACTGATTCTTTATCATTTTAGTTACTCTGAGTAACAACTCATCAGCATTTGAATTTAGATTTCTTTGCAATTGCTGACTCATCTACGGATTAAAATTTTGGGTACCTTGATACCATGGATTTAGAATCATATGAAAGTTATTATAATCTGTGTCATAATGATATCCTTGTGGAATCTCTATTTGATGAGTCCTTTGCTGATTTGCTGCTTGAAGTCTCTGATTGTAAATGTTGGGATCTGTATTTCTACGAATCCTTTAAACTGATGGTTCTATTTTTTGAGATGACGGCGGTATTTGGTCTAATGTGCCAAAATTAACCATTTGATTCTGAATTTGCCCCATTGGCTGTTGCACATTCTGCACTGATAATCTAGAATTATACTGTGTTGATTAGTAGTAGTACCCTAAACTTGCTCAGATGAGCTCTGAACTGTCTGGCATCATCATTGTCAGCTGGTGCTGCTTCTTGATGTCTAGTATCGGCTTATTTAGTCCCTTGAGTCGATGGATGTAAAATATTGTAATGAGCCATTCTAGTCTGATCAATTGGATATCCATGAAACACCTCCTTCATAGAATTGTGGAATGTGTTCAAGAAAGCTATATTATGATTCAACATGACATCATGAACAGATTTATTGACAGCATCTATAAAGAAATGCCTATCATCAGCTTCATCTGTATCTGACTGCCCATGTATCAAAACTCTTGATAGTTGATATTTTTGAACAACTTTATTATAATGTGTCTTGGTGTAGGACAACAAACACTTATTCTGAAACCCTTCTATAACTTTACCAATGACATCTTTATCCTCATCAGGTAAGTCTTCATAAGACAATATAAGAATGTTCCTATTGTTGTGAGCTGCCATGACGATTGCGTCCCACTAGGCGTGCTAAAAAGTGTGTTGACATAAAAATATGACGATGCAATCAACACACAGCAAGCCGGACAAACTGAACCGAATGAGATTGGAGATCTGCTTGGCTTCAACACAAGAACGATTGATTTCGGGACCAAAGTTGTACCAGTCAATTTGACCCTGTAATTGACAAGGAAAGAATAATCAGTAGTTTAAGGTTGAAGATGTCGGTGTTGCTCCAGACAGTTCCAAATATGTGGCTAAACAGCCGATTCGATAGGGCTATCGACTAAATAGTCAATATCCAACATATCAATAAAGCGAGGATCGCTGAATTGAAGATTATCGGCTAATATCAATGATGATGGTACGAATTCAATATAACCGATACTCATGGGTCATAGCAATTTTATTATGATTGATTAATCTAGGCAGAACAAGTACAATACACCCAAATATAACTAATATAAAGAAACATCATCAGCTAGATGGATATAACCAGTGTAAAGCATTGAGCCGATAAGTTAATGAGAAAGGATATAACATGCGAACAAATCGACTGTTTAATACAAATGAATCTACAAATGCTCTAAATCTAATCTGTTACCATCAACAGGGAGGTTCAATCGAATCGATACAGCTATGATAATAATAACAAACTAAAGCCAAAGAATCTATAAAACCATCTATATATCGACAGGTTCATGAAAAACATGCTATATATGTGAAAGCACAGGCGAATCGGCTAAAATAGCCGATGCATGCATAGCAAATAAACAAAGTACATATCTCGATCATGAACCAGACCACCAATCGATAATCTCTAATTTAAAGCCTTACCAGTGAGGTTCGACCGGATCGATACAGCTATGGTAATGTCATTAGATTAGATCTTATTAACTAGTGAGTTTATTCAAGATTGAAACATGTCTTTAAATGCATACTATGTTTGATTGGAATAGAAATAAAACAGCCGATTTAGTGAAATTAAGTCATCAATTATGAGATTTAAAGCATGATCAGATCAAAGGACGACCAATTAAGATGATATGATGCCGATCTGTCTCTACCTTAATCAAGTGATTTGTTATAATTAATAAAACATTAATTATAATAAGATCGATAGTTGGTGAATCAACAAAAATAGCAAAGAAAATCTTACTAATCTTAACAGATTAAATAACTAATGATATTGTATTAACAATAAGTTATTTAACATAAGATCGATAACTTTGATCTATATTATGGTTCGTAAGAGTTCAATCAGCTGATTCAGCCGTATAAACTACGATATAGATCAATAACTAACTTATATTATGGTTCATAAAAGATTAATCAGCTGATATAGCTTTACAAGCACAATACAAGTCGTGACGGTACTCACAAGCAAGTTATAGGTCGATCAGTCGATGTAGCACTGTTTGCTGGAGAACTCGTCGAGATCTACAGTACTCCTACTTCTAATGCGATGGCGAAAGCCGAAAAGATTATGTTAATTGATTGTTCGTGTCCTTGTATAATAACCGGGATCCAATATTTATACTTGGAACCTAAACATGAATTCTACTCAAATACGACTCATTACAATTCTTAGAATAAAAGAAAATATTCCTGACTTAAAATAATTTGAACCCTATTTTTTTCTTTTATATAGTCGGACATCTTTTTTCGTAGTCTATTGACGTCATCTGCTGACGTTATCAAAAAGAGTCGATTCCATTACCACATCTAAATCAGCTAACATCGATCTTTACGCAACTAATTTCTTAATGACATGATCTCGGAAGGTTCGAGTTTCCACGCTCTCGTTTCAAAATTTTGGTGTAAACAGCCTCCAAAGTTGCCTCGCTTCATTCGATCGCGCTCGGAACCCCCCCGACCCACTGCCCGGACCCATCCGCCATTGGCACAAAGCGGCCCATTCTCTCCTGTTCCGTTGAGAGCACCATGGCAAACCATGGCGCCATGCACGTACGTTACACACACAAGTCTTGAGCCTATGTACTAGCTTCTCCATTTCCGGCCACCGCATTCCACTCCACAAGCGGCCAGGGCTCCCACAGCTCCGGCATGGTGCAGTAGGACTCCGGGAACCCGTCGCCGTAGTCAAGGTGGTGGTCGTCGCACTCGGACTCCACCGAAACGTCCGCCGGCGTCGCGCACGACACGACGAGCACACAGCTCTCGGGCTCGAGCGGCTCCATGTTGTTGACGCACCCGAGCACGACGTTCCTCTTGTCGTCCTCCGCCTCGGCCTCACCACCGCAGCCGTTGCAGCTGCTGCTGCTTGCCGTCGTCGCGCCGCCGCCCGCGGCCCGGTCCTCCCGCTCCCTCAGCCTCTCGCTTAGCTCGTTCAACTGGCCATGCACGCACGCACCAAGCAAAAAAGTTGGCAAACTTGATCAGTCATGGATCAATCTATATGTTCAGAGAATCAGATATCGCGCGCGGAGGTTCACAACTACTACCTGTGTGGTGAGGGCGAGCTTGTCCTGCTTGAGGGACTCGACGCGGGCGTGGAGGTCGTCGAACTTGGCGCGGAGCAGGGCGTAATCGTGCTCGAGCTGCTTGGAGCGCCAGCGGGCGCGCTTGTTCTGGAACCAGATGGCCACCTGGCGCGGCTGCAGGCCCAGCTCCCGCGCCATCTCCGCCTTCTCCCGGGGCTCCAGCTTGGCGTGGTGCGCGTGGAACATGGACTCCAGCGACCGGATCTGCTCCCCGTGAACCGCCGCTTCCTCTCCCCCCTTGCCGCCGACGACGGCCCACCTCCGCCTCCGCCCATCCCCGCCAAGAACGACGACGGCGGCTCGTCCATCATCGGCACGCAGAGCTGCTGCAGCACCTGCATGGGCGCCGGCGCCGGCATGAAGAACTGGTGCTGGTGGTGGTCTGGCCTGTCCATGTTGGTCGATCGATCGACCGATCGTTGGATCCTAGCTAGTAGTAGCTGTGTGCTCTTCCTAGCTCTCCCTTCCTTCTCAACTCCGGGCTCCCGTCCCGTTCGGTCCCGTTTTATACCGGGCGCGCGGCCTTAAGTGTCCACGTCCGGCGATGTGAGCATGCGATTGCGGATAGAGAAACCGGTAGGGCCCGCGCGCCGTGAGACCACAGTACAGACCAGGCAAGCAAAGCCGCTTTTGTTCCCGTTCCCGTCCAACCAAGTGTCCGGAATCCGGCCCGTGTGGCCCGTCGTCCAATGGTTATCCGGCCGCCTCGCGATCCGCACCCGACACGTGGCGCGTGCGATCAGGTACGGGAGGACGAGGGGGTCAGGCAGGGGAACGAACGAGCGAAAGAACTGGATGGAACCGCGCGTGCACATACGGTACGGGAGGACGGGCGAGCGGGCCAGTGGGCGGCGGAAAGGTGTGCGCGGGCGGGCGAGGTGGTGTGGTGTGCCAGGTGGTCCGGTGGAAGGGCGTGCCGTGCCGCACGCGGTCGCCGTCACCCGGCGCCAGGTGTGCAGGGGCTTCCTCCGAAAGGGTCGTCGAGGTGGCGCGCCGTGCTTGTCCCGTTGCCGGGGCCGGGGGCCGCGACTCGGCTCCAGTCGGGTGGCCAGTCTGCCGTCTTACGCGCGCGCGCGGTGTGTGCCAAAGCGCGGTGTTCATGTTCGCCCGTGTCGTGTTGCGTTTACCGGCAGTGGTAGGCGCGCGGTGTGTGCCAAAGCATGTTCATGTTCGCTCGTGTCGTGTTGCGTTTACCGGCAGTGGTAGGCGCGCGGTGTGTACCGGCCGTAAAAACGATAGGATAACTAAAGAAGATTAGATAGGATAGATGATAAGTACGCTCATCTAGCCTGCTGGCTAGCTACCGCATGCGGGGAGCAGGCTTATCTCGATGTATCCATCTATGCGCGAAACTTTCACTCCCGGAAGAAAATGGATTCAGGTCGCTCCCAACTTCCCATGCGTGTTCTAGCAGATCAGGTAAGTTATAAAGTCGTAATCCGATACGATTAACAACCTGTTTTCGCGTGGAACTCTGGGATGCTCAGCTGCCTACGCAACGGCTACGTGGTTAAAAGGCCTTGGTGGTGGTTTCTTCCTCGAGCCGCAAAGCGATCAGCTCGAGCAACGGTACAAAGCGAACTCGGCAACCCTCGCGAAGGAAGACCAGAAAACCGCGGCGATGAATGATTAGCAGCAGGACTACTACGTAGCTACTAGCTAGTGAGGAACAGGACGTGGTGATCCTTCCCGCTCACGCAACTCGCAAGCCCGCGGCGCGCGCGCCCACAAGATTTCGTGCCGGGGAGGAGAGGAGACCCGTCCCCGTTGCGCGAGCGTGCGATGCCGCGCGCACGCTGCAGTGCCACGCTGCTCGGCGCGGGCACGTCAGCTGGGGTGGCTTTCCCCCGGGTGACCACCGCGATTTAGGCAGATTCAATTTTTTTTGACCACCGTAGTATTTTCGATTTAATCACGGGCGACGTTCAAAAGGGCGACGATTTCTCACCCAATTGTGTAATTAGTTTTTCGTCTACATTTAATCTTTCCATACACGGGCGCAAGATTTGACATGCGAAAAATTTTTAAATCTAAACGGGGCCTTAATCACGGGCGACGACCGGCAAGGGCGAGTTGTGTGGTGGGTTAATGCAGGGGAAGCGTAGCGCGGGCTGATTGGTGGGGGCCGGGACCAGGAGCAGGAGGAGGAGGTGGACGACGGGGCGCGCGCGGCGCCGGACCCGCTCCTGACGGCGACTCCTGGCCGCGCAGCACCGGACACATGGTGGCGCGGGTCCAGGGTCAGCGTCGCGCGCGCGGGCCTCGTGGTTGTTCTGGACCGCGCGCGTCGGCGTTGTTGGCGTGTGGAGGATAAGAAGCTCGCGCGACCGCGGGCCGCGGCCGCGTGGCCAGACCTTGCTGCGTGGCGGCCTGGCGCGCGCGGGTTGCTGCGGGGCCTCTCTGCGCCGCGTTGCAGCGTCGATCGCACAAGCCAGGGCCCTGGTTTAACTACGGGTGGTCCATGTCGATGCAGAAATGAATTGGTAGCTGCTTGGGATTGGGATGGGCAGAAGACATGCAGAATTTCAAATTTCCTTTTTGGATTGGATGAGATGCCACCCCCGGCTTATCACCCTCTTCGAAAGCTGTTCTGGATGACTCTTGTATCTTGTTCATGCAACTTGCCATGCATGACCCACCGAAGCTTTACCGAAGATACTCGCCCTTCTCGGCCGATGGTTTTTACGGCTGATAAGCCAACTGATACTGTTTGGTTGTGAGAGAAAAACATTATACTATGTTGATAAATAGTTCAAGTGAACAGGACGATTGTAGTGTAGTGCGACACTGTGTCCATCAGTTTTCAGCCTGTTCGGGAGGCCGTATCGTATCGTGGATTATTTACTGCTGGCTGGTTTGGTATGAGAGAAAAACACTATTCTCAGCTGGAAATTTACGATCATTTACGAGCAAGCGAACAGGATGTTAGTCCCTTCCTGTCAGCGCGTGTTTAGTTGCTACCCCAAAATTCAAAAAAGTGCTACAGTATCCATCACATCGAATCTTGCGATACGTATATAGAGCATTAAATGTAGATGAAAAAAATTAATTGCACAGTTTGGTTGAAAATTACGAGACGAATATTTTAAGCCTAATTAGTCCATGATTGAACATTATTTGTCAAATAAAAACGAACATGCTACAGTAACCCAAATTCCCAAATTCAGGGAACTAAACACGCGCTCATTTCAAGTGTCACACGTCACTAGTGTACGTATGCCCTGCCAATAGGGATAAAAACGGTCGAAATATATCTCTTATCGGCCCGCATCGTTTTTTACATTTAACTCGTTCGAATTTGTATTTTCAGATAACTTCGAATTTAGTACGAAATACTAAATACCAAATTCGAAAATGCAACGGAACGGTTTACATGTTTTCTGACCCTTTTCTATTGGGTCTGTCTAATCAGCACTCGCGTGTTTCTAGGTGCATGGACACCCGAGTGATGGATAGGGCAGGAACACTCTATTGACAGCCCCAAAATCGAGTATTTTGAACCCAGGTAACACTCCATTCTGATGACCGTTAGATCCAAATTAAATGAACCAAAAAAATTATCCAAATAATGCAAAAATATTAAACAAACAAAAAAATTAGCCAGATTATTTTTAAGAAAGCCAAATTAGAAAATTTCAAAGGCAAATCAAATAAAACATACAGAAAATAAAAAGAGTAAAACAAATCAGATAATTTTTCGAATAATTCTGATCATTCCCATTTACGAATAATTAATTTACACCAGTTAAACCCATAACTTACACCTAAACAAAAAGGAGTGTCTAGTGGGTGCTCGGGTGTTTGAGAGCCGGTTGACACCCGAGTGCTATAGGGCAGCCGAACACTCGATTGGAACAGAGAAAGCGAATCGAGTGTTTCCAATCCGACCAACACTTGATTCCCATGACCATTGGATTTCAATCAAACTAACAAAAAAAATCCAAATAATAAAAAATATTAAACAAAGAAAACAAAAAAATTAGCCAGATTATTTCTATGAAAGGCAAATTAGAAAATTTCATAGAGGAACCAAATAAAACATACATAAAATCAAAAGAAAAGCCAAAAAATTGTTCAGATAGGTCCGAGTAATTCTAATCATTCTCACTTACAAATAATCAGTTTACACCTATTGAACATAAAACTTACATCTTAAATAGAAATAATGAAATATGGTCCACTAAAACGTAATCTACGTCTACTAAACAAATGAATCTGTGTACATATAGATACCCAAGGGTTAGGTGACTTGAGGTGACAAAGACAGGTCCTGCATTAACTGTGATCTGACTCACCTGCACTTGTTGGCGTATGCTCCCAGGCACCAGCGCAGCATGCGGGAGCAGGCGCCCGACCGCACCCTGCCACCCTAGGCCCCACACGACCAGTGAGCAGGCGCCCGACGGCACCCTGCCACCCTAGGCCCCACACGACCAGGCATACCAGAATGCATGCATGCAGCGGTGCAGGGGGGAAATCAACCGACCATGTGGAGCACACGAGATCAACCGATCAAAGATCGAACGCTCAGGAAATCGAGTGAGTGGAAGGAGAAAATCACTCGAGCATCAAATAGTTTTCCCGTTTCTATTTTTCTGCCAACATGTGCTGGGCTTCCATGAGGAAACTAACCCTAGCTGTAGCTGTCTACTAAGGTCATCCGCAACAGTCCTAGCTAATTGCTAGCTAGGAGCCATCCACCTCAGCACTAAATATCAACCGATCAAAGATCGAACTACTCAGGAAATTGTGTTTAGTGGAAGGAGAAAATTTTTCGAGCATCAAAATTTAACTATCTGTTTTTTCTTTTAAAAAATCTTAGATACTTCAATGAAATATAACACTAATGAAGTATGTTCAATAAAGAATCATATCGTGAAAACTTGATGTATCTAAAAAATCTTTTGCTAGGAAAAAAGCCATGGTCCACCTCAACAAAATCGATAGTCAAGTCCATGCAACTATCTATATAGTGGTAGCTATTTGTTATTTTTAGTACTTTCATGCACAGTGCTGTGAAGATTATCTTTGTGTCTCTCTATATGGAGAATAACACTAAACATCTCATCTCAATATAACCAACTGGTAGCAACCATGAAAACATGGACAAGCTTTTGAACATAACAATAAAATAAAATGTCCATATGTTACTACATGATGAACTGATAAACATGACTCAAGCCATT